TGTTATTATTATCATTATTTTCATCATCTTTTTTATCACTATTATTATCATTATTATTATTCTAATTACTATTGTTATCATTATCATTATTATCATCATTATTACCATTAACTTTATATTTATGATAATCATTATTGTGATCATTGTTGTTCTTATTCTTAATGCTATTGCTGTTATTATTATCATAATTCTTCTGTGTTCTTTTGTCTGTAGGTTCTTAAAAATCCAGATTTGCAAGTGAGCTTTATTGATGCAAAATATGGTACAAAAGGGCAGGTGCGAAGCCACAACAAATGCAACCTGGTCTTCATGCTTCTTGCTCTCTGATTGGTCTTATCATTATTAATGTTGTCATTATTATTGTTATAATCATTACTATTATCATTACTATTACAGTCATTATCTATATCATCATTATTATTATTATCAATGTTATTGTTATCATAATTGTTATCATTATTTTTACCTTCATTACTATTGCTATCATTATTCATTAATGCTATTTCTAATAGCATTAATGTTCATGCGTCTTTACTATTTCACTTATTATAATTGTTATTATTGCTGTCATTTTTATTATTATTGTTTATAATTATTACGGACATCACTTCAACTATTATGACAACGCTTACTAACTTTTATCAACTATTTCTTGTCATTGTCATTATCATAATAAGTATCTTGTTATCATTATCATCATTATTATTTTTTGTCATCGTTTCCTTGTTTATTATCATTGTGATTGCTGTGATGATAATGTTTTTAATAATAGTAATAATGAATATACATTTTTTTAAATCTTTATTTTGTAATGATTATTGTTGTTATTATCATTATTATCATCATTGTCATCATCAGTATTACTATCAATATTATCATCATTCTTATCTAATTATCATCATTATCATAATCATTATCAATATCATTATCATTATCAATATCATTATTATTTTCCTCATCAATATCATTATCATTATATTCATTATCGTTTGTATTTTTATTGGTATTATCATTATTACAATCTTTACAATTATTAGTATCCTCAATATTATATCATTATTATTTCATCATTATCATGGTTGCCACCAATATCATCACTATTTTGACTGATAATAATAGTTCTATTATCTTCAGTATTAGCAGTATTTTACCTCATTATCATTACTAATACATTATCATTACATTGCATTATGACTTTATTATAACTAATTACTACTTCATTATTACATTATTTCACACACACACACACACACACACACACATATAATATATACATACATATATATATATATATATATATATATATATATATATATATATATATATATATATATATATATATATATATATACATATATATATATATATATATATATATATATATATATATATATATATATATATATATATATATATATACATATACATACATACATACATATATATATATATATATATATATATAATATATATATATATATATATATATATATATATATATATATATATATATACACTCACATACATGCATACATACATACATACATACATATACATACATACATACATATATATATATATATATATATATATATATATATATATATATATATATATATATACATATACATATACATACATTTTGCCCTGTGTGGTCCCACAATGGTTTTTGTTTGTGGACCTGCTTATTATCCAGTCATGCAAGTGTTAAAAAGTGTTGGCACAAGGACACAGCCTTGCCTCACTCCTGAACTAACAGGAAAAAAATATTACCTGACAGGCCACCACCACACTTTACAGCATTTTCAGTACCAGCATTTAGGCTTGCCATTAAACCAATAACCCGGATCGAAATTCCCCTCAGGATCTCCCAGAGCGATTCATGATGCACCTTCTTGAGGTCGATGTAGGCTGCAAGCAGCCCATGGCCGAATTCACGACGACATTCCACAGTGACTCGAAACACTTGGATATGGTTTATTGTGGATTACCCAGTAGTGAATCCGGATTGTTCTTGTCTTTGGTGCCTTAGCAGGTGGTTGTAGATCCGTTTCAGAAGAATTTGGACGAAAACCTTGCCTAGTATACTGAACATTGTTATGCCAAGGTAGTTTCTACAGTCCCAACGATCCCCATGCCCTTCAACAGGTCCAAGGGAATGGAACCAGACTGCCAGATAACATAAATAGTGGTCATTTTCTGTATTACCTTCGCCTCTCCGATATCGACGATTTTGGTATCGTTGGATTCCTCTCACTCTGTACAATCCAAATATGTAGGTTTTATTGCGCAAAAAAAAAAAAAAAAAAAAAAAAAACGTTAGGGGCAAACTTGGCCCCGATAGCAGGGGCGAAGGTAATATAGAAAATTACCGATATAGTGATAAGTGAAAAGAAAAATATAAAGATACAAAAGAGATATTGGTCAGTATTTATTTTGCTTTTATCTAATTCTCAGATGAAGGTTTTCGGTCGAGCTATGACGCGGACGGGTATGTTAC